GGTCTGTTTCTTTGCCAGTACCATGCTGTTTTTATCACAGTAGCTTAGTAGTATAGTTTCAAGTTGGGGATTGTGATACCCATTGCCATGTCTCTGTTGCTTAGAACTGCTTTGGCTATTCTAGGTCACTTCTGGTTCCAAATGAATTTTTAGATTGTTTCTGTAGTTCTGTGAAGTATATTGTTAGGGTTTCAGTCGGCATTGCATTAAATCTATATAGCAGTTTTGGAAGCATGGCCATTTTCGCTATATTGGCTCTTCCTACCCAGGAGCAAGGGATGCCTTTCCATTTTCTTATATCCTCTTAGATCTCTTTTTTCAGAGTGCTGTAGTTTTCAGTATAGAGGTCTTTTGCTTCCTTTGTTAGACCGATTCCTAGATATTTCATTTTTTTGGATGCTGTTGTAAAAGGAATTGTTTCCCTAATTTCTCTCTCAGTGAGTCTTTATTTGTGTAAAGAAGGCTATTGTTTTTTGGGTTTTGACCTTGTATCCAGTTACTCTACTGAATCTGTCAATTAAGTCTAGAAGTCTTTTGGCAGAGTTTTTTGGGTCTTCTATGTAAAGAATCATACCATCAGCAAATAATGATGGTTTAACTCCTTCCTTTCCTATCTTTATTCCTTTTAATTCTTTCTCTTTTCTAATTGCTGTGGCTTATGTTTCCAGAACTGTGTTGAACAGGAGTGGTGATAGTGGGCATCCTTTTCTTGTTCCTGATTTAAGCATGAATGTTCTCAATTTTTAACCATTTAGTATGATGTTAGCTATTGGTTTTTCATAGATAGCCTTAATCAGGTTGAGATAAAACCTTCTATTCCAATTTTCTGTAGGGTTTTTAATGAATGGGTGTTGGGTTTTGTGAAATGCTTTTTCTGCATCTATTGAGATGATCATATGGTTTTTGTCCTTGATTCTGTTAATATAGTGTATTACATTTATTGATTTATGTATGTTGAACCATCCTTGCAACCCTGGGATAAATCCCACTTGGTTCAGGGTGTATGATCTTCTTGATGATCCTCTGTATTCTGTTTGTCAGTATCTTGTGGAGGATTTTTGTGTCTAAGTTCATCAGGGAGATTGGCCTGTAGTTCTCTTTTTAGGTTGGGTCTTTCCCTGGTTTTAGAATCAAAGTAACACTTGCTTCCAGGAATGAATTTGGAAGTATTGGTTCCCTTACGATTTTGTTGATGAATTTTTAAAGAGTAATGGTGACAGCTCTTCTTTAAATGTCATATAGAATTCAGCAGTGAAGCCATCAGGACCTGGGCTTTACTTTCTTGGTAAATTTTTAATTACATTTTCAATTTCACTCATTGTATTTGGGGTGTTTAGAATTTCTATATCTTCTTCATTTAACTTTGGTAATTCGTATGTATCTAGGAATCTGTCTATTTCTTCTGTGTTTTCCATTTTATTAGAGTACAGGTTCTCTAAGTAGGTATTGATGATGCTCTGGATTTCTGCTGTGTC